CCGAAATGGAAGCAGGGTCTCCTTAGCCGGCTTCCAGCTATAAAATTTAGCGTGGTAACTCTTCTACTTGCTAATAGGCGGCAGTTCCAGCGGTGGCTTTGTTGCCAAATAATAACTGCTAAATAAATTTAATGCTTTCAATTATGTAATTAAAGAGATATGGAACTTATCTTGTGTTTGGAAATCACATTTGCCTTAAATGTTAAATAAAATAAATCAAGTTAGAATTAAAACTATGAATTTACCTAATTAATTATTTATTTTATATCACCTTGGAATGGGAAAATTCAAAAACTCGAAATTAATGTTTTTAGATTTGTGCGTCGACTTCCAATATGGTACGATATTAACATCTATGTTTAAAAAAATTGCATTATACAGGTTGTGTATCCTTAGATGGGTACTGCTCTCTTATTGTTGATTTCTTTAGATAGGTAAAATAATTATTAACACAAGTGTTGCATATCATGGATGCCATTGGTAGTGCTCATATTTGTTACACAAGGTGTTCAAAAAAATTAACACAATGTATAATTGCTGGAACTTCAAGGAGTAATTGAATACGAAATTTATTTAAAAAAAAAACAACAAATCATCAATCAATACAGAGATAACATAATGCGTTCGCTACCGCTGTTGCAATTTTTGACTAACTTTTTTGTTTATCGACATACTGACTTCGGACCTTTTCCATTCAACGCAGAAGGGACAATCAGAACCAGAGGAGTGGGGAGATTTTTTTAATTATTTTTTTCAATTCAACGCACCGTTTCCGAATTATAAGACCATTTTTACTGTATCACCTCACACACCTCTTCTTTCCGAAATTTATTTTCCACATACGGACTTCGGACCTTTTTCATTCAACGCAGAAGTGACATACAGAACCAGGGGTGTAGGGAGATATTATCAATTATTTTTTCGATTTAACGCACCGTTTCCGAGTTATACGGCCTTTTTACTATAAAACGTCACACACCTCTTGTTTCTAAAATTTATTTTCGACATACGGACTTCGAACCTTTTGCATTCAACGCAGGGGTGTTGAGATATTTCAATTATTTTTTCCATTCAACACACCGTTTCCGAGTTATAAACACTTTTTTATCCTATGATGCCACACACCGTTGGTCCCGATTTTTTTTTTTGACATGCGGGTTTTGAGGTTTTTCACTCGTTCACCATGGAAGATTTTTTGATACTTAGAGTCCAAGCAAATACTGTTTTTCTTTTTTCTTTCATATATTGCGACACCCCGCTCTGCGTCACCCACCGAGTGCTCTACTCAGAACCAAGGGGAAATTTGTTTATATTTTCAGCCATTTCCGAGTTACGAGCAAAAACTGTTTTTTTTTCTTATACTGTGTGACATAGATCGATACGAAGGCTAAAAAGGCCACGCGCTCTACCCCACGCTCCCTCCCTAGGTATCCTGAAATTGCTGGGAAGACTCCTGAAGACAGCAGAGAGAGAGAGAGAGAGAAGCCCTCTATGGCTATAACTATGCACTATAACTCTATCTCTCTCGCACACAATCAGACAAAAACAACAGAAACGAACCTTTTAAAATTACATGGAATTTATCATTATTAGAATAACCCATTTTAATTTAAAAAATTAAAAAAATTACAATGGGTTATTCTGAAAACGAAAAATAAAACATAATTAACTGTATTATTCAAATAACAATAATGTGCAAAAGTTCTTCAGGAATATTGGCAAATTTATTTTGGAGGAAGAATCCCGTCAACGAACATTAAAAAATATTATTAGAAACCTTAGGTGGCCAGAAAACAGCCTCGATCTCATTGTCAATCCTTTAGACATATTTTTTTTAAAAGACCTGAAAATTTACAAGTATTGAAAGAAAAATACAGGACGAAATGCTTGATAATTTTGTATTTGTTTTTAAAGCAATTGATAGTAAATTAAAACGTATTTTCAACTGTATCATCACAATTACTTGCATGTCGATTTGTAAAAATTGTACGTATTTTAATGTTATTTCATTTTTAGGTATTCTCCTTATGTTGTTGTAAAGGTTAGTTATAAAAATCTTTGTTATTTTCATAAGGTGAATTTTAATTTTTTTAATGATATTTTTTATTTTAAACATATATNATTGTAACTACAAGCGTTGTATTTGAACACGATGCAATGGCGTTCTGCTTGGCGATTTTAGCTTAATCTTTTTTTAAAATATGAAGATCGTATTCATCTGTTGCTATATTGCCATTTTTAAAACCAACGCAGATATCGTATTGATCCTTACGTGGTTTAAATATGGATATTTTATTTTTTTCTAAAATTTCACTAAAACATTTTCTTTCAACCGCTTGACATTGATTTTCCAAACACCATTCCTTGTACACTGTATGCATATGCCTGTAAGATCTAAACGAGTCCTCAACATGTATTCTGGAGCTCGAAGAGCGACAGTAATGCCTTGGGATTTTCGGCAGTAACCCTAACCACTGCTTAACTGAATCCGACTTGTATTGTTTGTTTATGTAATCCATGTTTTTTTTTAATTTCCTTTTTTCAATGTGAGATTTAGTTTTTTCCTTTTTTTCTCCTCTTTTAACTTCTTCATTATTATTACTTTGTGTGTTGTCTTTATTTTGTTCCTTGCAAATATTACTTAAATTTCCACTATTATTAATGCTGCTGTTGCTTGATACACTTACCTCCACATTGTCCTGAATCCAGTTATTGTGGTTTTTGCAAATGGTTGCTTCAGGAACGTGCAATAAATCCTCAATTTACAGCGCTAATACTTGTTACAGATGAAACATGTTTCGGTCGAAAAGGTGTACGTAACATCCACAACACTCACCACTGGACTATCGAAAATCCACGCGAAATACGTCGCGATGCCTCTCAGCAACAGTTTTCAGTGAACATGTGGGACGGTATCGTTAATGACACTTTAACAGGACCTTTTGAATAGCCTAGATGCTTAGACGGTGCCTCATATTTAGATTTTTTTGCAAAATCGCTTGCCGGAGTTATTGGAACACGTGTCATTAAATGTTTGGCAAAATATGTGGTTACTGCAGGACGGAGACCCCGCTCACTTTTTTCGAAGAGTGTGCGACTTTCTAAACATTACTTTTCCCGATCGCTGGATAGACCGCGGCAGCCTACTTAGATGCCTCCCCTCCCCCCCGGTCCCCGGACTATACCCCATTAGACTTCTTTTTGTGGGGATATTGAAAAGTATTGTGTATTCCACGGAAGTTTGTGACATCGACCAACTGCGACATCGTATTGCGGAAACTTGTGTTACGATTCGTGAAGACGTGGCAATGTCGCAACGTGTGCGAGCGAATTGGATACGTCGCGCTGAAGCTTATGTGCAAGCAAATGGTGAGTACATCGAACATCTATGAAAATCAGCAGTTCTCTAAAGGTGGCTCCTTGCAATGTTGAACTAAGTTAGATTTTAAAATTACATTTTACTCAACACAAATCATTGTATTTTGACATAATGGACATGTAGCAAAAATATTTGAATTCATTAACACCCTGTATATTTGTATCTATAGTCCCTTCAAAGCAAACGATTCTTTTTAGAGTCGTATACATCGTACCCTTTCCATATAATCCTTATCACGTGGATATAGATTTCTACCGCACGGACAGAATATTTTCAATGCCCGAAATTAATTTTAAATCATTGAATTGTAAATGGATTACAGATTCCGGCAGTTTGAACATGAATACGTAATATTAGTTATTAGGGTTTTATAACCAAGCTTCCGTATAGGATTTTAATTGAATGTCTTTTATTTTCGTTTAAATGGGGACTAATCATGTCCATGGAAAATCCACAGGTAATAATTTAATCGAGCGTAAAGTGCTTTTCATCATAGAGCGGCCTAAAATGTCAAAATACTTTTGAGGTTCCTTTCGGTTCAGTAAATTCAGGAAATATATTGTCTATAAGAGTTATTGAACACATACAGAATAATAATGAGTGAATGAATTTTTCTCGATATTTGTTATGGCCGAATGAGACGCAGCTTAAGCAAAAATACGTCAGGCAGTTGTAAACTGATACTGCTCTATCCACACTAGTGATCAGTTGTTTTATACAGCGTCATCAGTCATTAGTTAAAGCAACAGCATTGAACTACACCCGCAATATCTAGTAAGCTTAAGGCAATTTTACAATGTCATATTAATAATAATAATTATATAATAATATGTTTATTTACAAAAGTATATGACAAATTTAGAACACAATACATTACAACATAAAATCACCAACATGTATAAAACGTTAATAAAATAAATAAAAATTACAAAACAATGATATAACAGAACTTATGCAAATAAATTAGTAAGTCACTGAAGCGGCTACTACCACTTGTGCGTGACTATACAGTGAACAATACACTTCTACATACATTTATCAACAGATAATATAAAACACTTCTTTACAACACTTAAATATCTATAAAACACTAAACTTAATTTTTTTGACTTATGATGTTATGAAATATTTCTCTGCCTCTTTCATGAATCCATAGCTTTACTTTATGCTTAAAAGAGCTATATACATTTATATTTTTAAGATTATTTGGTAAAATATTATACAACCTTGAAGCCAGATAGTTAAAATTTCTTTGTCCTATTGTTTTTACAGACCTTGGATTAACATAATTGTCTCTGTTTCTAGTACTATATGGGTGATTTATCGATTGCGGAATTAAATATTTTTTTTTATAGTTTTTTATTAAAATATTATAACAAAATAATTGACGTACATCCATTAAACCGCTTTCTCTGAATAACTGGTCGCTAGGGTAAGTAATGGTTTTTTTATATATCAATTTAATTATCCATTTTTGAATAATATTTAAATTTTGTAGGTGGCTATCAGATACTCCACCCCAACCAATTATACCATAATTCAAGTGTGACTGTACTAAGGCATAATATAATATTTTTAAGTGGTACGTATCTAAGAAGTCTCTTAAATATTTGAGTCGAGGTAATAATCCTCGGATTTTTTTTACAATATTTGCTATTTGTAGGTTCCACCGTGCATGTCTGTCTATAATTACACCCAGATATTTTATAGACTCTTCTTCAGGTATATTTGTATTCTGATCAATAATTAGTGGACCCATATGAGGTAAACGTGCTGCATAGGACGTAAATGGAAGAAATTTGGTTTTTTCTACATTTAAGGTAAGTTTATTTTGCTCAAACCAAGCTTTTATATTTCTGAAATCTTTTTCTGCTTTTATTTTTAGGTCTGACCAAGATTCTGATTCATACCACACAGCAGTATCATCAGCAAAACTTAGAATGGAACCATTTACGTTAAGGGTAAGTAAATCGTTTATGTAGATTGTGAATAATAGAGGACCCAAAACCGTTCCCTGTGGAACCCCATAGGTAACGGTTTCTAGATTACTTCTTACCCCACCAATATTTACTTGTTGTTTTCGGTTGCATAGGTAGCTTTTTATTAAATTATGTACATTTCCTCTAATTCCATAATATTTTAGTTTTTCAAGAAGTATTTTGTGGCTGACTGTATCGAATGCTTTAGNATGCGTGTTGTAATTTCAGCATTGCTCATAGAGGGCGCCACTTACGACCAATTTTACCGAAAATTTAGTTAATAACTTTTTACCCTGTATATTTAACATGAAACTTGATTCAAAACCTGAATGAGCTATCATTTTTTCATTAATTATGTACTCTTGTTTCATGTCGGTATCTCGATCCGCTTTCGAGAAAAATCGATTTAACGAACAGTATGTTTTGATAATACGAAAAATTAAAACCGAAACAATGTGTTTCTACATGTTATTACAACAAATAACAATAAAACAAATTAAATAAGTAATAATGATTTATAGTAATTGTTCGAAGAATCCACCGTTGACACTGATACACTTTACACAACGTTTTCTGAGAGATCTTCGAGTTTGAAACAACATATTGGGATTGCGTTTGACTTCGTTGGCAGCGATTTGTATTCTTTGCCACAACTCTTCACACGAACCAATAGATTCTTCCAAATAGAAAAATGAAGAGGATTGAAGTCCGGACTTCTGGGTGGCCAAGTAAAAATGCTTCCACGGCTTGAAGAAGTTCCACTTTATTTAAGAAGAGACATGTGGTTCATGCACGACGGAGCTCCACCGCATTTTTCTTGGCCAGTGCGTGCATATTTAGATGCAGTTTTTCCAAATCGCTGGATTGGCCATGTAAGCATTTTTGCTTGGCCATCCAGAAGTCCGGACTTCAATCCTCTTGATTTTTCTATTTGGTCTCGAATGAAAGATATAGTTTACAAAGAATCTATTAGTTCGCATGAAGAGTTGTGGCAAAGAATACAAATCGCTGCCAACGAAGTCAGACGCAATCCCAATATGTTGTTTCAAACTCGAAGGTCTCTCAGAAAACGTTGTGTAAAGTGTATCAGTGTCAACGGTGGATTCTTCGAACCTTAAATCATAATTACGTATTTCATTAGTTTTATTGTTAATTGTTGTAATAACATGAACAAACATTTAGTTTGTTTTGCTTTTAATTTCTCGTATTATCAAGACATAGTGTTCGTTAAATCGATATTTCTCGAAAACCGATCGTGAAATGAAACAAGAATACATAATTAATGGAAAGATGATTGCTCTTTTTCAGATTTTAAATCAAATTTCATGTTAGACATACAGGGTAAAAAGTTACTAACTAAATTTTCGATAAAATTTGTTATAAATGGCGCCCTCTATGAGCAACGCTGAAATTGCAACACACATCTTATTTGTCGCTTAAAAAAATATAGTTTCACAAATTTTCAAGTTCCTAACCTACATATTTTCAGAATAATCTCAAAAAAACGGTTTAAAATTTCAACTTTCAACACCCCGTATTTCCGAAACTACCAATTTTCGGATAAGGCATGTGTGCGCCAATGGTCACCATTTCACGTGTAGTATCTTCAGCATTCGATTTTCCCATTGTTAATTAATCACCCTGTATACAGTGTATATCAGCCAAATGGAATAAATTCAATAATAAACAAATGGGGGAATGTTCGAAGAAACGCTTGGACACATCGATTGGTATTTTTTATTGTGCATTTTTTTCAACAAAACTTTTTATACAGGGTGTGTCACGTAACAGTGGTCAATACCGCAACTTTCTTATTTTAAACGCAATACCCTGTATAGTATTCAATTCAATATTCAATAATAATATCGATGGTAGCTATACATAGTCCACTGTTAATAGTTATTAATTTTAATAATTCGTAATAATAGTAGGGTATTTTAACCGTTTGTGAGTCTCCCCCCTCCACTTTCGCCCTTGAAATGACATATGTGGTGACGTATGAGGTGACCGTGAAGGTCACATAAGTAGGTGATCTTTAAATGACCTTCGCGTAGTTATATAATAATAGTAAACACTGTATTCTAGGGTCACCTTTATAGTTATTTCTAGTAGTGGATTATATATTTAATATTTGTGAAAGGGTGCTAAACAGAAAAGAAAATGTAAATATTCAGATGTAACAAATTTTGCCCACAAATGTTATATTTAGTTTATGAAATTGCGTTGATGTTGATAACTGGATAAAATCTTATTACCTCAAACTAAATTAAATATATAGAATCATTTTCAGTGTCCATCTACATAGTTCAACCTCCAAATAACCTTAACCTTAACTATATAAATAATGGCTTCCAAAGTTTAAGAGGCAGTGTATTGCTAGCTAGTCTAGCTCAAACAAGTGTAAGAAGATGAATAATAAAGAAGCTTTAATAGTAGAAATTGCCAAAGCAGACTCTACTACTTACCCGTTTGAATCTCCTGCTAGACCTTCATCATCATGGAGCGACAGTACTATGACAATATATGATGACGATGATGATGATGAAGGTGGCGACGAAGCTGAAAACCAATTGCCTGATTCGACAACGTCACCGGAAAGGTCTGAGTCGATAACTCCGGATAATTTAAGTTTTGATTTTTTAGATGGTAAGCAAATAGTGGCGTAATGTGTGTAGTTTATAAAAAAAAGATTTTTTTTGTCTTATTGCAGATCATCTCCAGCAGTGGTTGAACAGGTTGCGAGAAGTGACAGATTCCGATTACACAGACAATGATGTCAGTGATAGCGAGGGGGATATGGTAATAGAGGACGAGAATAATTAGATATATTTGTAAATTTAAAGTATAAATTGCAATAGTGTTTTGTAAATTTTAAGCATAAATTATTATAGTATTTTTATAGAAATATTTACATTTTAATGTTATGTAATATTAAATAAAAGAGAGAAAAAAAAATTAATTATTGTAATATTATTTTTTTTTACTTTATATATATACATAAATTCAAAATAGTTTTATATAATATTATTTAACGTATGTTGAAGTTACTTACTGACTACAGGTCAGGGACTTTTTTATATTATAGCTATAAAATAAAAGAAATAAAAAAATTTTACTGTAATGTATTTCGTTTAATTTTCAAATGTGAAATAAAACGCATTATATAAAAATTAAATACTTGAGAGTTAAATAATGTGATAAACAGTGTTTGTTACTAGCATACAAGGATAATAATTGCATTGAGAAAAGAAAATATGTATATATGTTGACAGGAGATGCAGTTTAGCTTTGCATTTATCGATCGGTGCCCTTCCAGCGATAATTGAAACAAGAGTTAAGCCCCGATAGCAGTGGGTGAGTGGACCGACGAGGCCTCGA